TTCTTGTTTCTTTTCTTGTTTCTTTTCTTTCTCCTCTAACAACTGTTGTAATTTCTTTTCTCGTTCTTCTTGTTTCTTTTCTTGTTTCTTTTCTTTTTCCTCTAACAACTGTTGTAATTTCATTTCTCGTTCTTCTTGTTTCTTTTCTTGTTTTTGTATTGCTGCCATCAAATCTGCTAAGCTGTAGTTTGATTTTCCGCCTCTCGTTTCCATCTTCTTCTCTTTTTTTTTCTATCCCACTTCTGACACCAATTTGTTACGTCTCCGTTTGTTAATTAACTTTCCGTAACTTCGTTCCAACGAAACTTTAGCGACACATGTCCTTACTTAATAAAACTGGTTTATTCTTTCTGAATATAACTTTACCGATACACTTATTTTTAACAGTCGCGCTAAAACAAACGCTATAACAAACGTTAACTTCAACAATACTTTCTCACAGCAGATAAATTACTCACTACCTACACACATTGTCCCGTCACGTTGTCACCCTCTTATATATACCAGACTACACTATATCTAGTAATCTTCCGACAATTCCCGAAGGTTCGAGAGAACGAGTCACGTGACCTCGCTGACGCAACATGTGGCTGCAAAGTCATCTGTAGTACTTGAAGTTAGACAGGGATATTTTCTACTGGCACTCGAGTGATCTCTTGAGCTAATGACCTCATTGAGAATAACCATCACGTTGTTAGTTATATTTGCTCTGGGTATATCTGACGTTAACGAATTAATTACGTAACGTGAGATTTATTCAGTCTTGAAAAAGTTCTCTACAGAGTTAGTTTTAGATGCGAACTTATCTGAGTAAGCTAGTGACAACCTCAAACCAATCTCTTCAATAAGGCCTAGCATGTCCTGGTGGTTAGGTGCTCGACTCGCAATCTGAAGTTAGCAGTTTCGAGTCTCCGTCAACGAACATGCTCGCCCTTTCATCCGTAGGGCGTTGTAATGTTATGATCAATCCCACTATTCGTTTATGAAAGAGTATCCCAAGAGTTGGCGGTGAGTAGTGTTGACTCTCATTGCTAAATTAGGGATGGCTAGTGCATATATTCCTCGTGTAGCTTTGCATGAAATTCAAATGAAACCAAACCAATCAATCAATCTCGTTAGCAAAAGCAACTGTCTGTTGTAGCAAGTAAAATACATATTCACAGTATTTGTTGGAATATAGCTTATATATTATGATTGTACATTTGTGTTCAGTCTTTCTTTATTTCTCGCAAACTCAGTCAGAGAATAGAGAACTATTTCATAGTCAACATTATGACGAATCTCTCGTTATTCTACTAACCTATCTTGAAACTCTTAGGTGCAGTCAGTGCTGTCTGAAATAATACATTGATGTACACAGCGTGGTCACAAGTAAATAGACACCACCTTTTCTGAAAACATTAAATTTGTCAGCCATATTCACATGAATTGATATATTTATAATTTAATTAATATCTAGTAGATTTTCCTTTCGCTTCGTGGAGTTCGTTGATCCTTTGAGGCATTGTGAGAATCCTCTCGTCAGTTTTAGATTGTGGGATTTTCGCCCACTCTTGCTTCAAAACTTGGAGTAGATCGCTCTTCGAAGTTGGTTTTTTTGTTGTTTCTTGACTTGCCGGTCGAGTATGGCCCAGAGGTTTTCGATGGGGTTCATGTCAGGAGATTGGCTCGGCCGAGGCAACTTCTGGATACCATTTTTCCTGCCACTTTTGGGTGTTTCTAGCAGTGTGACACGGTGATC